AGTAGAAAAGCTCTTAGTAGAAGGATCAAGAGGAGTAAAGATACCAAGAAAAGAATATCTAGGGTAGGAGGGAAAAAAAAAGGAAAAAAAAAAAAAAAAGGTGAGAATCTGGGAGTGAGCAAAGAATAGGGAGTATTATAGGTGTCTACACCATGAGATATATTCGGAAAAGCAAGTTACACTTTTTAAATTGTCTGAAAGTATGACTCTGCAAAATATCAAGTATCCAACCCAAAATTACAGTTTAGAAAAGGATTCCAAAGTTTAGATTTTTTTAATGTTGCAGTTGTATCACTGGTTTTCCCACTAATCAGCTGTTCCTTTCAGTAACATGACTTATGATGAATTATTTTTAGTACAGAATGCCTAAAGTATAAGCAACTCCTGTACTTACTGCTCTAAACAAAACTAATATAAACAGCATGGAAACAACACCAGGAAATTATTACAGTCCCTTCCTCTCTCAATAAGTCTTGAAATGGAATCCACAGGACACTGTGGTGTGATTACATATGTAGAAAGATAGGCTGAGGTAGAAGGACTGCCTGGGTGAGAGTGAGACTTCGAATCAAAAAAATAAAAATAAAGACAAAAAATAAACAAAACAAACAAACAAACAAAAATACCAAAGGTGTTTTAAGATCATGTCTTTAACCCATTTTCAGGTTCAATTCACTTGAAAAAAAAAACTGTTCTAGGTTAGGCACAGTGGCTCATGCCTATAATCCCAGCACTCTGGGAGGCCAAGGTAAGAGGATTCCAAAGTTTAGATATTAAGCCTGTAGTGAGACCGTAGTGAGACTCTGTCTCTACAAAAGAATAAACAACAAAAAATTAGGTGGGCATGGTGGTGTATGCTTGTAGTTCCAGCTACTCAAGAAACCAAGATGGAACAACTGCCTGAATTCATGCTACTGCACCAGTTGGGGTGACAGAGTGAGATCCTGATTAAAAAAATCTGTTCTATATTGTAAGAATAGAATCTGAGTGAAGTTGAGGTGAGAAAGATGGCTGGCAATATCAAATCAAAGTCACACTTACTTACATTCAAATCCAAATTTGCCTTCCAACTTCCAAAACCACATCTTCTATATTCCTAATCTCAAATAATACAGTATAGTCTAACATCATCTGGGTAAGTGTCATCTGCTTGACCTGTCATCTTTTGATTCTACCTTCATCACAGGCTACTACAGTCCTTTTCACAGACTATCTTCTTTTGCAAACTCCCCTCACCCCAGGCACCACCATAAACCATTCAGTAATCAAATACTACTGATTCTAGTGTTAAAATGTTTTTCAAAGCTGTATTCCCTCTTCTTAAAATTTTTTTGTAGAGACGAGGTCTCGTTATATTGCCCAGGCTGGTCTCAAATTCCCGGGCTCAAGTCATCTTCTTGCCTCCGTCTCTCAAAGTGCTGTGAGTACTGGTGTGAGCTACTGCACCCAGCTCCAAAGCTATATTCTCTATTCTTTTATTACATATATGTAAGGTGTACAACATGAGAGTTTAAAATCCTTTTTCTTTTTTTTTTGAGTCGGAGTCTCACTCTCATCCAGGCTAGAGTGTACTGGCACAATCCCGGATTACAGCAGCCTCAGACTCCTAGGCTCAAAGCAATCAGTCTCAGCCTCTTTAGTAGCTGGCACTACAGATGCTTGCCATCATGCCTAGCTAAGTTTTTAAAATTTTGTAGAGACGAGTTCTCCGTATGCTGCCTATGCTGGTCTTAAACTCCTGTGCTCAAGCAATCTTCTTATCAAGGCATACCACAGTGCTGAGATTACTGGTATGAGCAATCCTGCCTAGTCTTAGTATATAAGGGGTCCCAAAAAACACCCTCGGAGGTATCTTTTAGAGGGCGGGCCTCTTGTAGTACAGGCTTCCATCGCTAGGTAAATGTTCTAAGAATCTATTTGCATCAGCATACCAGCTAGCGCTGTTGTGAGAGGCCATGTTTAGATTCAATGAATTTTCTTTGGCAATGCTTTGAACACATTTGCCAATTTCATGATGGGTGATTTACAAGCACACCTGCCCAGACCACGCTGAGTGTTCAGCAGTTTTTGATCAAAATCAGTATGACCCCCATGCCTCACCCTCACTATTCACCTAATCTAGTCACAGTGACTTTTTTTCTTTGCCTGGATGAAAGAAGTCCTTAAAGGGAAATGTTTTGCTGATGTGGAAGAGGTGAAACAAAAAACGGCAGAATCACTAAAAGGCATTAAAATTGATAAGTTCAAAAACTCTTCTGAACAGTGGAAAAAGCATCGTGGTAGGTGTACTGCATCAAATGAAGACTACTTTCAAGGTGACTGACGACTGAACATGTAAGAATAAAATACACAATTTTAAAAATAAATTCAGGGTTTTTTTTGGCGGGGGGGTCCCCTCATACACAGTAAAGTGATCACTACGGTCAACCTTCCTTCCATCGTTTGCTTTTGGTGGTCAGAGCAACTAAAATCTACTCTTAGCAAATTTTCAGTATACAATGTAGTATTATTTACCATAGTCCTCATGCAGTATATTACATCTCTAGACTTATCCATCCTACAAAACCACAAGATTGTATCCCTTGACTTACTTCTCCCAATTTACTTCCTCTCCCTGCTCCTAGTTTATCAATTGTTTTATTTTTATGTATTCAGCTTTCTGTGTCTGACTTATTTCACTTAGCTTATATCGTCTAAATCCAACCATGTTGTGGTACATGGCAGTACCTCCTTTTTTTAAGGATATATAATATCACACATACACGATAACTTTTATATCCATTCATCCACCGATACTTAGGTTTCTATATTTTGGCTATTGTGAATAATGCTGCAATGAACATGGTAGTGTATATATCTCCATGAAGTGATTTCATTTCCTTTAGGTTTACACCCAGTACAGGGATTGCTAGATCATATGATTCTATTTTTAATTTTCCAAGAGACTTTGACACTTTTTTCTAGATGTACCAATTTACATTTCTACCAACATTGTACAAGGGGTCCCTTTCCTCTACATTCTTGCCAACACTTATCATTTGACTTTTTTATAACAGCCACCCTGACAGGTGTGAGGTGATGATGTATTTTGATTTACATTTCTCTGATGATTTGCAGTTTGAGCATCTCTGCATATACTTGTTGGCCATCTTTATGTTTTCTTCTGAGAAATGTCTATTCAGATCCCTTACTAATTTTTTGAATCAAGTTATTCATATGTCTGCTATTGAGTTGTGTGAGTTCCTTATGTCTTTTGGATTTTTTTTTTTTTTTTTGAGTTGGAGTCTCACTCTGTAGCCCAGACTGGAGTGCAGTGGCCGCTCCCGACCACCATAGCCTCGACCTGTTGGGCTCCGGCGATCCTTCTGCCTCAGTCTTCTAAGTAGCCGGAATTACAGGTGAGCGCTACCACACCCGGCTGATTTTTTTTTTTTTTTAATTGGAGAGATTATCAGATATACAGTTTACAAATATTTTCTCACAATTCATAGGCCACCTTTTCATTTTGTTGACTGCTTTTGTTATGCAGAAGCCTTTTAGTTCAACGTAGTTCTACTTGTTTGTTTTTTCTTTTGTTGCCTGCGTTTTTTATGTAACATTATAAAAAAAAAAAAAAAAAAATCAATGCCAAGACCAATATAGTATCAAGGAGCTTTCCCTCTGTTTTTCTAGAAGTTTTATACTTTCAAATCTTAAGTTTAGGTCTTTAATCTATTTTGAGTTAATTTTCATGCATAGTGTAAAGATCCAGTTTCATTCTTTTGCATGTGGAAATCCAGTTTTTTCCACACCATTTACTGAAAAGATTATCCTTTCTTGATGGCCTTGTTGAAAACTGCCTGACTGCTTTACTTTTTTTTATCCACAATTCCCAAAGTTTAGAACATGCAGCTTTAAAATTTATCGCCTGACCTATTGAGTTTCCCTGTCACCAACTTCTAACCACTCTCATCTATTCAATCACAATACTGGCAGTTTTGACTCTTAATAGTATAGAACTGATGCCACGAAGGACCAAAAACATTTAGTGGCTTCTTCGTCTCACTACAATATTCAAACTTATGCCCACTCTCTAGCAGGCAATCAAGGACAATCAAATGAGCTTTTCAATCAAATTTCCATTTTCTTCCTTTCACTTTAGCTACAGGCTATTTGCTATCCTCAAGAATGTTCAGCACTTTCCTTGCCTCAATCTTATGTATAAGAAAGCTTCTCTATCCTTCAAGATCCAGTTCAAAAATTTCTGTCACCACAAAGTCTTAGCACACCTAATCAAAATTCACCATTTTCTCATCTGCATTCTCTTACTGGAATTGTATGTAATTCTAACAGACCATTAGTCTACCTATTATTATCATAGCTATGTGGTGGTATATGTTCAAATATCATTAAATATACCAAATATAACAGGGTGCCTAAATGAAACGTAATTGTACACCTAACCCTTAACTGTACCCCACAAAACCATAATAAAAAATACTGATTAATTATTTAAAAATATATATATATATACACCAAATATTTTTATAATATATTTGTATCTCAAATGTACAAAGCAGGCCGGGTGCAGTGGCTCATGCCTATAATCCCAGCACTTTGGGAGGTTGAGGTGAGAGGACTACCTGAGCCCACGGGTTCGAGATCAGCCTGGACAACTTGGTGAGACCTTATCTCTACAATAAATCAAAAATTCAGCTGGGCACGGTGGCACATGCCTATAGTTCCAGCTACTTGGAAGGTTGAGGCAGAAGGATTGCCTGAGCCCAACAGGACAAGGCTGAGGTGGCCGTGCCACTGCACTCCACTGCACTCCAGCCTGGGCAACAGAGTGAGTGCCACTGGACTCCAGCCTGGGCAACAGATTGAGACTCCAACTCCCCCCCCAACACACAAAAAAACTACAAAGCTTTTACCTAATCATGTATAATTAGATGTAAGAGTTAGGCAGAAATGTACCTTAATGCACACAACATTTCGGTTAATTCAGTTCATCTACTAACCTCATAATTTTCTACTTCTCCATCTTCCACATCCAATTCAAAGCTGAAAGTTGGGCCTACTGCAGGTGGCACTGGAAGCATTGATCTACAATGAAAACAACCACACTAGCATTAATATGTTAGTACACTGGCTGGGTGTGGTGGCTCACACCTATAATCCTAGCACTTTGGGAGGCTGAGGAGGGAGGATTGCCTGAGCCCAGGAATTCTCTACAAAAAAAATAACTATAACAACAACAAAAAGCCAGGTATGGTGGTATACACCTGTAGTCCCAGGAGTTCAAGGCTGTGATAAGCAAGGATTGTACCACTGCACACCAGCCTCAGCAACAGAGTATGTTAAGTACATTAACTCAGTGAAGGACAGAGACCAGAGCTATAAAGAAGGATAGTCTGTGTTCAATCAGTGGCAACCCTTTAAAGAGACTTTACTAGCAATAAACAATTAAAAATGGACAGTAAACATACCATACACAACGGCATTTAAAAAAAACCCATAAATGGAGGGACAAATTTAGAACATATACAAGACCTATTAAAAGCAAAAATATTTCTAGGGTAACTTAAAGACGAATAAACAGAAATACATATACCACATAACTTGAAGACTCAATATTGTTAAGATGTCAATTTTTTAAAGTAAAATCTCACATACTGATTTTAAAATTATAAGGAAATGCAAAAAACCTTACCTAAAAACATTTTAAGTACAAAACTGGAAGACTTACACCATTTGACTTTAAGATAGAAAGATGAACAAATAAACAGAGAAAGAGAAGGAGGGAGGAAAGAAGGAAAGAAAAACTATCAAAATAGTGTGCTATATAGGTATATGGTCTTCTGGTATGAAGACTACATTTCCTAGATTTCCTAAAAAGTAATTATAACATGTAACTAAACTCTGGCCAATGAGATGTAGGCAAGGGTAATACATGCAGTTTTTAGGACATATCCCTTAAGAAGAGCAGGCAGTTACAGAAATTTGTTTTTATTTTTGCTGGCTGGAATGGGGACATGATGTTTAGAGCCTGAACAGCCACCTTAGATCAAACAGAGGAAACCATCAGATTTTGAGGATGGTAGAACCACTCTTCATGGTCACAGGACTAACAAATCATTCTTGAATTGCCTACTTCTAGAATTTATGACGTGAGGAAAAAAGAAAAAGAATACTCCTGGGTGTAGTGGCTCATGTGTGTAATCCCAGTACTTTGGGAGACAGAGGCCTGAGCCCAAGGGTTCAAGACCAGCCTGGGTAACTTGGTGAGACCTCGTCATTATAATAAATAAAAAAAAATAGCTGGGTGTGGTGGTGCACGCCTGTGGTTCCAGCTACTTGGAAAGCTGAGGCAGAAGGACCACCTGAGTCCAGCAAGTCGAGGCTGAAGTGGCCATGAGTGTGCCACTGCACTCCAGCCTGGGTGACAGAGTGAGATTCCTATGCAAAAAATAAAAAAGAGAGTATCAAAACACATGGGTGTTTTGGTTCAGACCAACTTAATCCTAACAGACTAGTTCTAAGATATAGATATCTGTTCTCTCACCCCAAGAGAAACAGTATCAAAAGCTAGATGATTAAGAGAGGCAACAAGTGATATCAACTGTAAAGGAGGTAAAAATCTCAACTTTTTCTGCCTTTAGATTTGTTAAATCTTTTGGCTTATAGAGAAGTTCTTCCTCTCCCACTTCTCCCATGTTATTGATCTTTCTTTCTCCCTTTGGCTCCCTAACCCGAACCCATTAACATTATGTTAAAACAAATAACTAATGTGCCTCAAGTTACAGACCACAAAGAAGACATTCGTAAAGGAAACAGAATATCAAGACTTTCAAACCTCAGAGATCATTAAAATAAGAAAAGAACTTACAACACATATGGTAGTAAGCTGGGATGATAAGGGGGAGGTGGTATTGGCTGCTGGGATCGATATCTACTACGTCCTGTGAGCCTCCGAGGCATAAATGGAGGATACGGCTGCGGGGGGTGGTGGGAGGAAGAAATGTTAAAAGGATTTAAGATCAGTCTATATTTACAATATTTAATCTGTTGAATACAGTCACTTATTTTTTTAAAAATGTGTAACATTCTTTACAGTTCAAGTGGTGTTTAATATTTCTCAAATATTAACACTACGGATGCAGCAACCAGTTAAAACATATATTTGTGTTTCTAAATATGGGAGTGCCAAAAAATGTATACATACTTTGAGATGTTATCAATGTATTACTTTTCGAAGTTGAGTTGAATTATGGTAGCAATGTGTAAAATGACATTCACTCAACCATGCTTCCCCTATTTTCTTTGTACTGCCTGTCACATGATGACATCAGCATTCATTATATTAATGCCATCTTTTGAGTGAATGTCAAACTTTTAAAAAGTGTGTACTTTTGACACCCCTTGTATAATTTTCCAACTGAATGCTTTCAAGAACGCATTTAAAATTCCAAACATGTAGAGCTACACTGAGATACCACCCACAAAAGATAAGCTGCCAAAGTAGTTAATTAGTGCAATATTGTGTGAAAACTTACTACTCCAAAGGACACCTCCTGAGGTAAAGGGTCATGTGCTAAGAACTGCAAAGGAGCTGATGGAGGCAATGCTGGGGGATGGGCTGACGGAGGGTAAGTAAAGCCTCCCACCGGAAGGTGTTCTCCTAAGAGCTCAACTTCATTTTCTATCCTTTGCAGAGGCTGAGGAGAAAAAAACAGTAACATACTTCCAGTATTCAGATAAGACTGTGCTTTATAATAATTAAGAATTTTTAAACCCCAAAATGTCTCTAAAGCTGTGCATTTCTTGATGTTCACATCCATCTTAAATTCATACAGGTAGACTATAAAATCTTCCTACCTCTAGTTTCAACAAGAAAGTCTCGGCCAGGCTCAGTGGCTCGGCCTGTAATCTCACGCTTTGGGAGGCCGAGGTGAGAGGATTGCCTGAGCCCGCGGGTTCGAGACCCACCTGGGCAACTTGGCGAGACCTCATCTCTACAATAAATCAAAAATTAGCCGGGCATGGTAGCGTGCACCTGTAGTTACAGCTACTTAGAAGGCTGAGGCGGAGGGATTGCCGAAGCCCAGCAGGTCGAGGCTGCAGTGGCTGGGAACGGGCCACTGCACTCCAGTCTGGGTGACAGAGTGAGACTCCAACTCGGAGGAAAAAAAAAAAAAAAGAAAGTCTCTGGAACATGTTATCAAACATTTCCATTATCCTCCATTTCTTTTACTATTTGAAACTCCTCTTAAGATAAGAAAGACAAAAGGTCATCTAGTAAGCCAATTATGTACTCAATATATAAGTCGGGGCAACCTGAACTACTGAAAGGACTTTTAGACACCTAATCTTTCACTGATGAAGCAAAACATGTTGTGTATTTATAAATCAGATACAAGGCCAAATGAGATAAGGTACGGAAGGCAATCTTCTGTAGTAGAAAGATGATGGGCTTTGACTTTTTTTTTTTTTGAGTTGGAGTCTCACTCTGTCGCCCAGACTGGAGTGCAGTGGCCGCTCCCGGCCCCCGCAGCCTCGACCTGCTGGGCTCTGGCGATCCTTCTGCCTCAGCCTTCCGAGTAGCTGGAATTACAGGCATGCGCTACCATGCCTGGCTGATTTTTTATTTACTGTAGAGATGAGGTCTCGCCAAGTTGCCCAGGCGGGTCTCGAACCCGCGGGTTCAGGCAATCCACTCACCTTAGCCTCCCAAAGCGCGGGATTACAGGCTGAGCCACCGAGCCCGGCGGGTTTTGACATTTAACAGAATCTTGGCACTGTCATGAGTCAGCCATGTGACTTTAATGAGATAAATTATTTAATCACAATCTCAGTGTTGTCATTTATAAAACTAACATGCTCACAGCCTATGCCAAAGTGTCTTGTGAACACTGAGCCAACAGACATATAACACAGTGTTATGAACAGCATATAGCATACATTAAAAAAGTAACATAGTATGTGAGATATTCACATGCTATAAAAGTACAAGTCCACAGGTTCGAGACCCGCCTGGGCAACTTGGCATGACCGCATCTCTACAATAAATCAAAAAATTAGCCGGAAGTGGTAGCGCTCGCCTGTAGTTCCAGCTACTTGGAAGGCTGAGGTGGAAGGATCACCGGAGCCCAGCAGGTCAAGGCTGCGGTGGCCGGGAGTGGCCACTGCACTCTAGTCTGGGCGACAGAGTAAGACTCCAGCTCAAAAAAAAAAAGGGGGTTAGGGGGGAAGTACAAGTGAATAATTTTAGTGTATCCAGAGTTATGTAACCATCACCAGAATGTTTTCATCACCTCTAAAATAAATTTCATATCCATTATCAGTCACTACCCATTTCCCGAAGTCATCTGTTTTCCATCTCTATGGATTTGCCTGTTCTGGACATTTCATAGAAATAGAACTGGTTCATTTAAATAGGAACTACTTCATATAAATGGATCAAACCTTGTTTTGCTTGGCATGATGTTTAACATTAATTCATTTTGTGGGTTTTATCAATAATTCATTCCTTTTTATGGTTAAATATTATACTCTATGAATATACCACTTTGTTCAAAAGTTGATGGACATTTGAACTGTCCACTTTTTAGCTATTAGGAATAATGTTTTTTTCCCATAAACATTTGTGTACACATTTTTGTGTTGATGGTTAATTCAATTGGGCACATGTATTTTTAAAAGTTAGCCTGATTTCTTCCTCTTTCAGTTACAGAATGGCAACATGTTTTTTTTTTTTTTTTTTTGAGTTGGAGTCTCACTCCGTTGCCCAGGCTAGAGTGCAGTGGCACACTCACAGCCACCCCAGTGTTGACCTGCTGGGCTCCAGTGATCCTTCTGCCTCAGCCTTCCAAGTAGCTGCAACTACAGGTGCGCACTACCATGCCTGGCTAATTTTTTATTTATTGTAGAGACGAGGTCTCACCAAATTGCCCGGGCTGGTCTTGAACACACAGTCTCAGGCAATCCACTTGACTCGGCCTCCCAAAGGCTGAGCCACCAAGCCCAGCCAGCAACATGTTTTTCAAACATAAGTAAATATTAAACTTTAATTTGGAAGCTTATGCATGCTTGAGAGAAATCATAATTGCTAACACTATGACAACTCCAGTGAACCCAAGTCCTGATACAGGTATGTGACTAGACCTTTTAAAGAATTCCAAATTTGGATACAAGTAATACCTAAATTTTGCTTTCAGCTTGAATTCCCAGATACTAAAAACTGAGAAGAATAAACACCCTGGCATGAATCCTATCCTGATTCCAAGAAAATATTTTCTTGTAAAACCAGTTCTAACTTTCCAGATGAGCCAAATTTCTGCCATAATTGCTTCTATAGTTTTTAGGACAGAAGCCAGGTATCTAGCATGGACCATAAATCCTTAGTAAACGATGGTTAAGACTCTGGTATAATCAAGTTTTCTCCATGGTGCTAAAATCCTCCACTCTAACAATTTCCAGTGGTTATCACCCTTGTTTCCTCTATATGTTTGATGGTTCAGATGCTGAACTTGCCCTGTCCAAAAAACAACTCAACTTTATTCCCATGTCCTTTCTTTGCCCTTATATAGTACTTACCTCCCCTAACCTCCCAAAATAATATGCCTCTCAGCTATATTCCAGCTCAGCGCAGAACTGTGTTAATAGACTACATCATCTGCTTTTCATCAGAACATAGTAAAAAAACAGATCTTCAGAAAAAGTAATTGAGACTTAGAAAGGTTAATTTACTTACCTAAATGAATTCAAATATTATTCTAATAAGCATTAAGAATTTTATAGTATTTTATTTTTAAAACTTAGAAATACATGAAAGGAAAAACAATACAAATAAATAAAAATTTTTCTTCACATTTACTTCCTGAAGAATTGCAGATATGATGAACAACAAATTTCAAGGCAACAAGTGACATTAAATAAGTAGAAAAATTTAAGAAAGCAAGATAATTCAAGGTAAATATATTTATACTAATTTATATACCAGTGGATTCCTTTAATTTTTTTAAGAACTATAAGAATGCTTAAATGACAATTATTTTACATTTACTAAATTAATCTGCCTGCTCTAAACATTATGGGAAAATTAAAGACATAAGAGTTGAGATACCTACCGATCGTGATTGCTGTGTTTGGAAGGGGACAAACTGGCCTGGTGGCGGCAAGTGAGGAGGATGATGGGGAGAGAGGTGAGGAGGATGTATAAGAAATGGATCACTAGAAATAAGGGGTGGGAACGCAGCATATGGTACTGGTAAGTGCTGAACTGAACATGCCTGAAGCATCTGTAAGAGAAACCATTTTTGGGGGTTAAAAATATCAGAATATATAATTAATTTTTAAAAATCTGTCATTGCCATACTCCCCAAATTCTTCAAACATACTTTTTATAACTCATATTAACAATGAAATATTAGTTCGTTTTTGATCTACAAGTAACATTCTGATAATCAGTAGTTATTCTGTATTTTTATATAATTTTTACAAATCAGTCAAAACACCTAACTTTTATTTTAGCTTTTTAACACCCATGAAATAGGAGGGAAATGCTGCAGGGAAAAGAACTTCTCTTATTGGTTTAAGATACAGCAGACATCTCATCAAGAAGGGTACCTGAACAATGAACATTTGTATACCTAACCCTGAACTGTACCCCACAATTAGAAAAATAAAATATAAATAAATAAATAAACAAACAAACCCACACCTCTCAGGTCCCAAAGACCATACTTCTTCCGCCTTATGCACCAGGCTGCTGCTTCTCTATAACCTCCTGCTCACCTACCATGTTTTCATTGTCAGAGGAATCGTGACTGGTCTTTAGTAGGTATATTTACATTACTTTACAAAAGGCATATATTTTCTAATGTCTATAGCAGAATAGTGATGTTAGAGATTAAGAGTTAATACAAAATAACTTGAGGAATACTTGGAGGATACGCTTTGAAATTTAAAACAAAAGTATGTAAAAGCCTCCAAAATATGGTCCTACAAGGCATTTCCGTTCAAGTTGTTAGAAATTATGTTTTTGAAGATTGAAAGATATTTTAGTGTAAGAAAACCCTACAAAAAAAAAAGATACAGCAGATACCACTGCTAGTTCAAGGAGTTCTCCTTTTCATTCTTGCAGAAATTTTTTTTTCTTTTTAGGATTTTATAAGAATACAACTCTCAACATTGCCTTATGCTCTCTCTATATTTTAGCAGGCAAATTTAGCACAATAACTCTATTACTGAGAAACCAAACTTGGGTAAACTAATTTGTTAAACTGCAATTGGTATTTGTATGTGTATATGTGTTTTAATCTCACATTCAGATCAGGATATTAGAATTATATTTAAATTTTGTCAGGTGTCTCCCTTTCTTTTTCTTCTTCTTTTTCTGAGCTCGAGTCTCATTCTGTTCCTAGGTTGGAGTGCAGTGGCACTCTGCAGCGGCCACCACAGCCTCGACCTGCTGGACTCAGGTGGATCCTTCTACTGCAGTCTTCCAAGTAGCTGGAACTACAGGCATGCGCCACCATGCCAAGCTAATTTTTTTTTTTTAATTGTAGAGGTGAGCCGGGCTCGGTGGCTCAGCCTGTAATCCTGCGCCTTTGGAAGGCTGAGGTGAGTGGATTGCCTGAGCCCGCGGGT